TATATATATATATATATATACATATATATATATATATATATATATATGCACATCTTTTAGTCCTCATCTGCATGACTGAATAACAAAATGCATCAAGCAGGAAATGAACGACTCATCCATTGCCCACAATCCAACTTCAGGCAGCGAGAGCCAGAACATCTTACAAGTGAACGCCTGAAAGATTACAAATGTCTTTAAATTATTTCCTTAATGCATTCTGACTGTATTGTTTATCCAAAGTAGTGCAGATTATAAGTCCTAGGCCCGGCTGTGTCTGTCGTCTAACATACGGCCGGGTCATACTTTCAGGCAAGGCCCTGAAAACAAGATATTTGTACTCAACCTGTGACGGCAGTTTCTGTTTCTACTAATAAGCACTGCTCACTAAATTGCATTAAACTGCGTGCAAGCTGCAGTAGTAAAGAGATTTTTGATGAAAAGTCCTTCGTAAAGGATTCTGCTTTGAAGATACCCGAAAATCCTCCCTGGTTTTGTCTCTTCTTCAAATTCACAACACAATCATCACCATCCATCTCCGTCACTTATATGGTGCATGTTAAACCTGTGCATTTGCTTCTCACAGAAAGACCAAAACAACAACAAAAAAGTGCAAGCGTGAAACACTTCCTTTGCTAACATTTTAGGTAATGAATACAGTTTACAAACCTTACTGAGTGGCAAACATCAAGATGCATTAAAGCCGAAGATAAGATAAGATCCCTGCATGAGTAGTACTATCATAAACATATTTAAAGCGCTTGGATGCAGTTACACCTTTGACAGGAAGCCCCTGAGGTTTCCTGTTGTAGTTTTAACAGGGTACAACAAACACACACCGTGCGGTGGCCTGTTTCTCAGTAGTTTCACTAACCACCTATAAAGTGACCCATAATGCATTTAAAAGGCAGATCTTCTCCGATGTACATTGCAGAACTCTTTAAACATGCAATGACATTGGGATTCTTTAGAAGGATCTGGAGAGTAGTAGGACTTTAATGGAGTCATATACACTACCTGACTAAAGTCTTGTCGTGGATCTCAGTTGTAAGAGCAACAAATAATAACTTCTAGTTGATCATTTGGAAAAGTGTCTGGGGTGGATTTCTCTGCTGAATCATCTGTTGATCTGCATCCCAATTACCACCAATACTGCAGAAGACCTACTGGAACCAGCATGGAGACAAGATTCTCACAGATATCAGTCAAGTTTGGTGAAGGAATAAGCATGGTTAGGGGTTACATTCAGTATGATGGCGTGCGAGAGATCTGCAACATCAACAGCCTGAGGTATCAAGACATCTGTGCTGCCCATTACATTACAAACCACAGGAGAGGGACAATTCTCCAGCAGGATAGCGCTCCTGCTCATACTTCAGCCTCCACATCAAAGCTCCTGAAAGCAGAGAAGGTCAAGCTGCTCCAGGATTGGCCAGCCCAGTCACCAGACATCAACATTATTGAGCATGATGAAGGAGGAGGTAATGAAGATGAACACAAAGACTCTTGATGAACTCTGGGAGTCCTGCTCAGGAAGGCTTTCTTCTTCATTCCAGATGACTTTATTAATCAGTGATTTGAGTCATGTCAGAGATGTATGGATGCAGTCCTCCAAGCTCATGATGGAGTCAGACACAATATTCATTCTGTCTCCACTGCAGCAGGACTTTATATTCTATACTGGACATTATTTCTGTTCAGTGATGAGACTTTAGTCTGAGCAGAGTCAGACCGCACTGTCCTCATCAAATCAGTCAACATCAAGACATGATCAGATTTTATTGAGCTCAAATAAGTGTAATCTAGAGGCCTTCACCTTTCATATAAGACACTGCTGATACCAAATGATCAACTAGAAGTCCAGTTATTACTTGCTGTTCATAAAACTTGGATAGGCGACAAGACTTTTGTCAGGTAGTGTACAGTCATGCAGTCTTCAAGCGCATTTCTATCGTTCATTATTTGCATTCACTCGTTTACACATCAAACATAAAAACACTATAACACTTTACCACCGCCATGCTGTCATCAATTGCCAGCTGAATCAGAATCTGGCTGAAGGTTAGTTTAGCAACGATCATTTATTTATGTGGAACTAAAAAAAGAGATTCTCAAAAATTCTTTCGTTTAAGGAACTACTTTTTTGTGAATTAAGGGATTTTTATTTAAATTTGGCATCTCTACAGCTTTTCTTGCTTAGACTTTTCTCTTTGTTTCTAGTCCAAATATCTAAAGATTCTTAAATCAAGAAGAATTTGCCGGACAGGCTAAAAATGTAGTCTTGTTTGCAGTAATAAAATCAAAATTAAGTGAGTTTTACCCTTTTAAACAAGCAAATGGGTTGAGCAAAGTAAAGTTATTTCAAAGTGAAAACAATATAATTTGCTTTCCCCGCTGGCAGATTATTTCACTTGTTTTAATGAACATCTCACTTAATTTTGACTCATTATTTTTAAAAACAAGAGAATATTTTTTGCTTGTCTAGAAAATGCTTCTTGATTTAGGAAGTGTTAGATATCTGGACTAGAAACAGAACCAAAGCCTAAATAAGAAAGGCATTATTTGCACTTGATACTTAAACACGCATTAAAAAGGGAAAAACCCAGCTACAGTCAGGTATTAATGTTTTCAGTAACAGGGGCTTACGAAGGATTTTTTTTTTTGTTTTGTTTTGTTATTAACAGTAAAATGAAAATACAAGTAGATTCCTACATAATATGATTGCTTTAATGCTGTTCTGACAATAATGCAAATAAATGACCAAAAAAATACACTTTCATTTACATCTCTACCTAGAACAAAGCAGAGCTTACCCGTTTGTTATCATCTGACACTTTGTCTTGAATTGTTTTTTTGTAAATAAGATTTTTGTTTACGCTCTTTAAACTGTATGCTCTTCTAGAGTTAAACAGGTGAGTTTGACCATTTTTTAATCTATTTAGGTGACATGGCGAGAGCACTTTAGCTTAGCTTAGCATAGATCATTGAATCGGATTAGACCATTAGCATCTCACTCATAAATGTCCATTTCTTGCTCAAAAATAACCAATAATGTTTTCTGTAACAGGTTTATAAAGCAATCTTTTTTTACAAATTGTCTTTTTTGTTTTGTTATTAACAGTAAAATGAAAAAAAAAAGATTCCTACATAATATGATTTCTTTAATGCTGTTCTGACAATAATGCAAATGAATGACCAAAAACACACACTTTCATTTACATTTCTACCTAGAAACAAAGCAGAGCTTCCCCGTTTGTTATCTGACACTGTCTTGAACTGTTTTTGTAAATACTATTTTCGTTTATACTCTTTCATCTTTACACTATCCCAGAGTTGAACAGATGAGTTCAACCATTTTTGAATCCAACTAGCCGATATCTGGATCTGCCGGGAGCACTTTTAGCTTAGCTTAGCATAGATCATTGAATTGGATTAGACCATTAGCATCTCACTCATAAATGTCCATTTCTCGCTTAAAAATAAGCAATAATGTTTTCTGTAGCAGGTTTACAAAGGATTTTTTTTGCCTCCAAATTGTCTTTTTTGTATTGTTATTCACAGTAAAATGAAGAAAAATAAAACAAGTAGATTCCGATATGACTACTTTAACAACGTTCTAATATTAATGCAAATGAATGACCAAAATCAAACACTTTCATTTGCATTATCTAGAAACAAAACAGAACGATAACACTTTGTTTTGATGGTGCATTTGAGTATTAGACTGCTTAATATCTGCTGATTCTGCTCCTTCATCAGACATTTAACTAACTATAAGAAACTTTGCAAGTGCATGTCAACTTACACTAACCCCAACCCTAACCTACAGTCTACTTATAATGTAATGAGAATTAGTTGGTATGTAGATGCAATGTAACTTAATTCAACAAACGAACCATCAACAAAGTGTGACCCACAGAACATCCCCGTTTGTTGTCATCTGACACTTTGTCTTGAACTGAGTTGAACAGGTGAGTTTGACCATTTTTGAATCCAACTAGCCGATATCTGGACCTGGCAGGAGATTTTTTAGCTTAGCTTAGCATCGATCATTGAATCGGATTAGACCATTAGCATCTCACTCATAAATGTCCATTTCTTGCTCAAAAATAACCAATAATGTTTTCTGTAGCAGGTTTATAAAGCAATCTTTTTTTACAAATTGTCTTTTTTGTTTTGTTATTAACAGTAAAATGAAAAAAAAAAAAAAGATTCCTACATAATATGATTTCTTTAATGCTGTTCTGACAATAATGCAAATGAATGACCAAAAACACACACTTTCATTTACATTTCTACCTAGAAACAAAGCAGAACTTCCCCGTTTGTTATCATCTGACACTTTGACTTGAACTGTTATTGTAATCTGTTTATACTCTTTAAACTTTACACTATCCCAGAGTTAAACAGGTGAGTTCAACCATTTTTGAATCCAACTAGCCGATATCTGGATCTGCCGGGAGCACTTTTAGCTTAGCATAGCATAGCATAGATCACTGAATCGGATTAGACCATTAGCATCTCACTCATAAATGTCCATTTCTCGCTCAAAAATAATCAATAATGTTTTCTGTAACAGGTTCACAAAGCAATCTTTTTCCAAATTGTCTTTTTTTGTTTTGTTATTCACAGTAAAAGCAAAACACAAGTAGATTCCTACATAATATAATTTCCTTAACACACATTTCTGACATTAATGTTAATGAATGACCAAAAACACACTTTCATTTACATTTCTACCTAGAAACAAAGCAGAACATCCCCGTTTGTTATCATCTCACACTGTCTTGAACTGTTTTTATTTAATATCTTTGCTCCTGAAGAAACTTTTAGTTCCCGCAGTCCACAAACACATGTGCTGTCTGTCGTCTCTATAAGAGCCTTTTTTTGCCATCGATAAACAACAAAAACTGAACAAAACAAAACAAACAAGCAAACCTAAAGCACTTTAGCATGCACTCACAGCATATTTAAACACACAGAGAACTAAACATGGCATTGCGGCAGCTGAAAGTGGATCCTCAAATGGAGAAATGGTCACTGATTGGTGGTTTCTCCACCCACTGGCCGTAGCCTTTTCTTTCCAGGTAGGACTTCAGCATGCTCTTCGCTTCTTGGTACGGCTTCGCCATCATCTTGACGTTTATTAAAGAACAAGACGGTCAATATTAATCATTCAACACAAAACTGAATTGATAAACATGTTGGAGTTTGTATTAAAGAATGATTTCCTTTCAAAGTGTCCATATTTGGTCATGCATATGGAAAGTTTAAAGTAACACTCCACTTCTTGAAGGAAAATATAGTTAAACAGTTGACTTCAACCATCTTTTAATGGATTCATCTGGTCTCCAAGTCTGGCGGAAGCATTTTTAGCTTAGCTTAGCATAAATCATTGAATCAGATTGGACCATTAGCATCTCATTCAAAAATGTCAATTTTTAACTCAAAAATAACCATTTCATTTTCTGTCTGTCAAAGTAAATGAGGTTTACTTTTTAAAATTTTATGTTTTTAAATGAAATGTTAATGGTCTAATCAGATTCAATGATCTATGCTAAGCTAAAAGTGTTCGCACTAAACCTGGAGATCAGCTGAATGGATTTAAACTTGGTAAAACTCAACTATTTAACTCTATGGTAGTTGTAAAATGAGCCTATCTATATAATCAATCAGTCAGTCAGTCAGTCTGTCTGTCTGTCTGTCTGTCTGTCTGTCCATCCAAACAAAGAGTTCCTTTAAAAATATATAAGTCCACAATATATTCCCCAAACTTGACTCCCAAGAGAAATAAGCAATTCTGAGCTGCTGAAATGAATATTTGTTCATTTAAATATATTCATGCAAATTATACATAATTTTCTGCATAATTAACAATACATCAATTAATTTATGCGTAAAATGCAATTGCCTATTTATCTTTAAATACATCTTCATAAACAATGTTGAATTAAATGAATTACCAGTAAGTTTGTCTCTCATTTTTGACAGGATAATATTTACCTTTTTACTGTACAAACAAATAGAATAAAAGATGCACTTTAAATCATCAGAGAGTGGTAATATATACAGTTAAAGACTGTATTATTAGCTCTCCAGCGAAATCTTAAAATTGTGTTCAAATATTTCTCAATTAACAGAGCAAGCAAATTTTCACAGTACTTCCTATAATATTATTTCTTCTGGGGAAAGTCTTATTTATTTGTTTTAGTTTGGCTGGAATAAAACCAGTTTTTGATTATTTTAAAATAATTTTAAGGTCAATAAATTTACCCTCAAAGATATTTTTTGTTTGGCTATTACTTCCTTAATTAACTCGATTATCCCAGTTAAGCTGAATACAAGTATCTTGCTAAATAACTAGCAAAATATGATGCATCGTCATCATGGAAAAGATCAAAATAAAAGTAAATAAATAAATAAAAAACCTTTCACAGGAGTTTTTTTTTTCCGAGTGAGATGCTAATGGTCTAATCTGATTCAATGATTTATGCTAAGCTAAGCTAAAAGAGTTCAGGTCGTATTGACTAAATGGATTAAAAATAGGAAAACTCAACAGTTTAACTCTGTGGTACTTGTAAAATTAGCCTATTTCTATAAATAAATAAACAAATAAACAAACAAACAAACAAACAAATAAATAAACAAACAAATAAATTAATAGACTTCCATTGAAAAATCTAAGGGCACAACAAATTCTCCAGACTTGACTCTTAAAAAATAAGCATTTCTGAGATAAATATGAAAAAAACATATAAAAAAAACTTTCAGAGGAGGTCTAATAATTTAGTTTTTAACTGTATATACAATGACAAGTCTTAAGCTATTTTAGCTGTTCCATATGTATCATTTTATTTTTTGCATTAACTTAATTTTATTTATTTTTTCAGTAATATTCAATTCAATAGTAGTCAACAGTATTAATCAGAAATGAGATTCAGCTCTTCATGTGTGTGCTGTAAATAAGGCAGCGTGCAGTACCTTGGCTTCTCTGTAGGTGACAGCAGTGAGCAGCTCCTCTCTCTGGGACTCTTTAGCTACCAAATTAAATCGACTGAACATCGCTGCCTTGCACAGACGGCTGGCCAGAGCTGGACTGCTCTTAAACGGAGAGCTGGGAAAAGCACAAATGAACATGACAAGCTTAAAAGAGCTTCATCAGTACAACAAACAGTGTTGCCAACTTTCAACATGCGGTTGAAATTAGATAATTCTGATGTATAATGCAATTAAACTCAAATAATGGTCAAAGTGCCATAAATTTGTGATAATGCCAAATTAGAGACATGCAAGTTTTATAAAGCACACTTAACTCATTAAAGTTTCACTTTCACTTTCATTTTCAGTTTGAAAACCTGGAAGTTTCTAATAAATGTTGGTTTTTATAATTAGTTTGTTGTGTGTTTATATTTTTCTGTTTTCATTATTAGTTGAATTTTATTTTGTATATTAGTGAAACAAAAGAAAAGATGTTTATAATGCTTGTAAATGCTTTATTTAGGGCAAGGGTGCCCAAACTCGGTCCTGGTGGGCCGATGTCCTGAATAGTTTAGTTTCAACCCCAATCAGACGCACCTGGACTAGCTAATTAAGCTCTTACTAGGCTTTCTAGAAGCATCCCTGCAGGTGT